TAAAACCCCTACTTGAACATATTGAGATCTATTGGTCAGATAGTTGTCAAACCAGCGAAAAGCTTGTTCTGACAAGCCAGTAGTGTGAAGCCTCTGTAATAAAACCTCATGATTAACGGTATAAGATGCTATGGAGAAATCGATAAACAGGGTTGCACAGTGTTGCTTATTATCCAAAAGATCAATAAAATCATTAACCACTTTTAGTGCTGCTGTAGTGGTACTATGCATTTTCTTAAAACCAGACTGAGAATGTGATAGAATATCATTTAATGTTAGAAAGTCCTTCAGTTGTTCACTGACCAAGGACTCCAGGACCTTGGCCAGTACAGACAATTTAGATATAGGTCTGTAATTGTTTAACTCTGCCTGGTCACCCCCTTTGAACAATGGCGTAACATAAGCAGACTTCCATATCAAGGGAATATACCCAGTATCCAAGGATAGATTAATAAGATAAGTTAGAGGTGGGGCAATAAAATCAACAGCTAACTTCAAGAAATAGGGTTCCAATTGATCTGGACCTGCTGATTTTTTAGGGTCTAAAAGTTTAATAACATTATGCACTTATAGTAAAATGCTTGAAGTTAAAGGGTTGTGTCATCATCAATAGGGTATCTAGATAAGAAACAGAAGAGTTTTCAGGAGAGGCACTAACATAATTAAATATAGAAGCTGAGGTGATAAAATGTCTATTAAAACATTCAAGCATTTCTTGTTTATCAGAGATTACTTTTGAGTCTTTTAAAATACACGAAGGAAGATCTAAAGTGTTAGTATCACCATTTAAAGATTTAATGGCATTCCAGAATTTATGTGGATTATTAAGATTTTTTGTAGTTTTTGTTAAAAAAAACGTTGAGCTTTTGCATTTCTAATTGCAACTGTTGTAATATTACAAAGTCTTCTAAAGTTCTGCCAGTCTGAGCACAGCCCAGTTTTCCTCGCCCTGGTCCCTGACTTATTGCGCTCATGAGGAATATCTGACAATCTGGAATTAAACCAAGCATTATCAGGCCCTTTTACTTTAAATTTCTTAAAGGGGGCATGTCGGTCAACTATTAAAACAAAAAAAAAACTATCACAATAAAAATCCCAAGCATGCTCAACATCTGCAATAAGGCAGATGCTTTCCCAATTAAAATTAAACAGATCGTGGATAAATCCCGGTTCTGAAAAATGCTTTATATCTCTTTTAAAAATAATATGAGGCTTTGCCCTTCTCACCCTATATCTAAGGAAGAGTCCAGGTACCCTGCGGAGGAAACTCATTTCAACCGCAGTCTCATTCTTTCGGTCACTAGGCAGAGTTTGTGGCCCTAGGTGAAGGTAGGAATGTAGACCAACCAGTAAACAGAGAGCTTTGCCTTACAGCTCAGCTCCCTCTTCACCACAACAGACCGGCACAGAGTCCGCAATACTGTAGACACTGTGCCAGTCCATCTGTCTATCTCACACTCCATTCTTCCCTCACTCATGAACAAGACCTCGAGATACTTGAACTCCTCCACTTGAGGCAGAACCTCACCCTCGCTCTGAAGAGAACAGTCCACCCTTTTCTGACTGAGGACCATGGCCTCAGATTTGGAGGTGCTTATTCACATCCCAGCCGCTTCATACTCGGTTGTGAACTGCTCCAGTAAAAGCTTAAGATCAAAGCACAATGACGCCAACAGTATCACGTCATCTGCAAATAGCAGAGATGGAATCCTGAGGCCACTGAACCGGAATCTCTCCGCCCCCTGCCTGCACCGAGAAATTCTGTCAATAAAAGTTATAAACAGAACCGGTGACAACGAGCAGCCCGGCGGAGTCTAACTCCCACCCTCAAGGAGTCTGACTTACTACCAGCAATGTGAACCAAGCTCTCGCACCGCTTGTATAGGGACTGAACATCCCTTAGCAACAGGTCCTAATCCCATACTCATGGAGCACCCCCACAGTGTACCCCAAGGAACACGGTCGAATACCTTCTCCAAGTCCACAAAACACATGTAGACTGGATGGACAAACTCCCATGACATTTCAGTGACCTTACTGAGGGTAAAGAGCTGATCCAGTGTTCCACAGCCAGGACTGAACCCACATTGTTCCTCTTGGATCTGAGGTTCAACCAACAATTGGACTCGCTTCTTCGGTACCCCTGAATAGACCTTACCAGGGAGGAGAGTGATGCTCCTATAATTGGAGCACACCCTTCAGTCCCAGTTTTTGAAGAGGGGAACCATCACAGTTTGCCAATCCAGTGGCACTGCCCCCGATGTCCATGCAATGTTGCAAAGGCGTGCGTGCCAACCAAGACAGACAATTGAATTCAGTTCAGTTTAACTAAATTAGCTAATTTACAGGGTAACATATGGTCAGCTTAATCCGAGGTTGCCCTGAGGTCAACTCAGGACAGTTTACCTAATAATAAAGTTAAACTCAAACAGTTCAGTTTAGTTTTTTGAGATAGCACCAATTCACCACAACACTCAACTAAGGGTACCATACAAGTCCAACAAATAAGTCCAAAGCAATTCAATTAAAATTATGTACAATACTGTGCATATGCCATATATTTTTGATGCCAATTATCATCTTTTATTTTTATTTGAAAAGCTTTAGGATTGCATAATATCTTCATGTTTACACTTACCCTTTGCTCTACTGGGACATTAGGGGGACAAGATGGGGCAGACAGCTTGGGACCAGAAAGTCGCGGTTCAACTCCCCTTCATGCCCACATGTTGTGGTGTCCTTGAGCAAGACACCTAATCCCTAATTAATCCCTGGGCACTTACATAGCTGCCCTACTGCTCCACCTTGTCGTATTCTCAAGGAACCCAAATAGTACGAGATCAAGAACGAGTAAAGAAGTAAAAGTAAAAGTTTAAAGGTGTTTATTATTTACAGTGGAAAGAGACACTGGAGGATCCTCTGGAACCCTGGCGAGCAAGGAGGTGGGTCAGGTAGGTGTTTAGGTTGGAGGATAATTTTTTTAATGTTTTTCTTTTTTGTCTTACAGGTTTCCAGGCTTGACTCAACTTGGAAGGTCAGTCCAAGAAGGTTCCAGAATGCGGGGCATGAAGAGAGTAGGCTAGTGGTCAGTGGGTAGGGAGCGCGAGTAGACACTGGAGTCCAGGAAAGATAGGACGCTGAGGCACTCGGGGGGAACACAGGTAAGCTGAAGCACAAAAAGATACTGTATATTAGCCAGGTTCACACAAGATCACAAAAGGCTAGAAACACAACTACCATCTAGCATGGGCAATGCTCCAGCGGAGAGTAGAGCTCGACTGCAGCCTTAAGTAGTGGTGGATCCTCGTTAGTGGGATGACTTGCAGGTGTGGTTGATTGGCAGCCACCTTGGATTTGGGAGGTGCAGAAGGCAGCACTCTCACACACTTGGGTGTATCTCAGGTGTGATGGGTTAATGCAACAAACTAATTTCATCATTGTATGGGAACATACAATGATGACAACACATAGTACTTACCGATACTACTTACTTACTTACTTACTGTAAGTTTAGATAGCATTGTTATAAATAAAAACAATCTCTTTCATTTACAGCTCATAAACCCTTACAGATTTATACTAATTGCTGATTAGAAAGTAGAAAGGTTTGTTTGGCAAAGCAGCTCACGAGTAAAGCAACTTTGGGCACTTTTCTACTCGTTACTGCTTAGTCACACATGCCCGAAGGTAGGTGAGAAGATGAGATGCTTTAACACTTTCGAATCTTCATGGAGCTCTTCATTCCATACATGCCTCTGCTTCATTGCCAACACCCCGTCTGGGTTTTTGATCTGTCTTGACAGACACCTGTGATCACCGATCAAAAGGCCAGGTGTGTGGACGTGTGTGCAGCATGAATTTGTTTGTGAGTGTAAGTCATCAATTGCCACAACCTGCCTGCTTCATGCTTCATTAGGTTAGGTGGTCGTCATTTGAGCAGGGTGTCTGCATTGGTGATAGCGTGTCTGTGACTGTTAGCATATCTGTGAAGAGATATTCTCATTGAAGACAGGTGGTCATGATCTATGGCCTCTTACGGGAATCACCCCTGTTGTTGCTCCTGTAAGCACCAATAAAAGCCCAGAGGATGTGTAAGGCACATGCACAAACAGGACTATTAGAGCATGACATAACAGCATGACTATTGTTTGTGTCACAGAAAAGTTGGACACAGCAAAACAAAGGAAATACATGCTGCGTTGAGGAGAGTCTAAATAAGCCATGTGTCACACCACCTCTGCGTTCCCCTCACTCACATCCAGATTTCTTTTTCTTTCCCTGAGCTTTCTGCCACTCGTGCTTATACAAACACACACACTTGATGAGTCGCACACACCCAGCCTCACGCCACCAGCCAGCAAGCCATTTGCTCCTCACTCACACCCTCAAGTCTTACCAAGCTCAGCTCTCCCCGCTCAAAAGCAGACAGGAGCAACGCAGCAGCCTACTAAAGAAGTTGAGGGAAGGAGCAGCAGTCAGAGAGAGGCAGAGGAGGGAGGGGGATGAAGTGAAGGCAGAGCGGGGCAGAGAGACCACTGTTCCCCATATGCCAAAAGGAGTAAGGGCGGTTGAACAAGCTGCCCCCCACCTGAAGCTTCCTGTCCCGTGGGAGCATCAGAGCACCAGTCCCAAGAGAGAGAGAAAGCCTGGAAACGCTGCCAAATCACGCTCAAAGAGGACAAGGAGGGGAGCCAGAGAGGAGAGAGAAAACTCTGAGGAGAGGCAGAGGGAAGAAAGCCACAACGGTAGGCTGTCCCACTCAGCTGCAGTACCGTGATGACGTTAGTGGGCATGTGACCCAGGGTCTCCAGTGACGGCACATGGAGGGCAGGAAAGAGACGAGTTTTAAAGCTGGTGCCTTTTGGGTTGTGTGAGGGCTCTGCTCGCCTTCCAAACAACCACAGAACCACAGACGTGCGGCTCGGGGTTGGTGTTTGAGGGCGACCTGGAGTGTAAATGGTTAATCGTCACAGGCCAGCACCAGTCACAGGAACGGCGCTAAGCGAGTAAGTACGTTCCAACCACACTGGCCAAGCAAGCAACTCCAACACCATCTGATGTGTCCGCAAAGGCGATATTTGCCTCTGCAATTTTTTTTTCTCTATAAAACCAAACCTGGTTGTTACTTGTGGTCATCGAAATAGTTGATATGTAAAAGCATTTCTTGTGGATGGCTTTTCCTTTTTTTTTTCCTGCCTCTTCATGACATGCTGCGTGCTCTTGGTTTAGGACGTGTCAAGGGTCACAGAAACCACAGAGGAACAAAAGTTGGGTTTGCTGGAACCAGAAGCAGCTATGGCATCTAACAGCCTTTTCAGCACAGTGACACCATGTCAGCAGAACTTCTTCTGGGGTGAGTACCACTTGGCTGGTTGATGCATTGTCAGGGGTCGGGATCAGGGGTGCCTTGGGTCATGGAAAGGACTGCTTATGGACAGTTTGGGCAAAATGAACAAAGCTCTTGGACTGACTGAAGGATTTGGGTCCGCATGAGGATCAGCTGTGGGTAGTTCCAAGCAGTTTTGGTGGAAGACAGACCCAACTATCACCAAGGCTTTTGGTGGTATCACACAAAATATCTGCGCTTAACGAGCCCAGTATTTATTCTATGTGATGTTTATAAATACTTCTAAACAAGTAAGATGGCACGTATGTGCAATGTACTCTTAAGATTTAGAAAGCCATGCCTTTGCGGAACCACAAACAAAATCGGGGCGATATTTGTTGACAGACATCAACAGACGAGAGTTTACAGTCGAGCATTGACTCAAGATGTGGGGATTACTGGGCTGCGTGTGTTTGGTGTCTCCGTTGTGAAAACAGAAGACGTATGGATCCGTTTGCCAAGACAGATCTGTATTCACTTCCTAAAATTGTTCGGTCGCACTGCTGTCATTAATTAATCAATTTTAATTTCTGCCTCTGCCAAGTGTGCATTTAATTGGCTGACATAAATTTAGGTTGAGCAAAGAGCTGATTTGTGCCGATTCATTTCAGTTTATTTTGATTTGTAGGTTTCCCATAAATAATTGAAAACACGAGAGGTGGTTTTTGGATTTGCACTGGGAGAAATTTTATTTGCACAATATAAAATACTTTCCTCTATCTTTTTCTTTTAAACGTAGACTATGAATAACAAGTAATGAATAAATAAATCTGAGCCGTAATGTGAACTACTTAAAGATTTTTTGAAGGCCGACAGACCCTCCGTTTTAGATTTGTTTTTCTATTGTGACAGCTTCTTTACACAGCCTCCAGCAAGCTGCAAAGTAATTGATGCTTTAGTTTCAACAGATGGGTTTTTCAAACTCAAACATTTTCTTTTCCTTGCGCGACACATGAAATAGACAGGCTCAGTTTAATAAAACTCCCCGACATCCTTCTTGTCCAAATCAAACATTTGAAAGATGTTTTATATTTGAAGAAGAAGTGGCTCCACGGTCAGCTGCTCCGGGGCTCCTGCATCAGCACAGAAGCTGCGCTCAGAAAGCTGCGGAGAGAGCGAGCACCTCCTAACAATCACCACCACCTATTAACGCTTTAACCCCGCTGACCTCTCGTGAGTCTCGAGGGTTGCGGGATCGCGGGAGGACAAGAGAAGAGGAGCAGTGCGGCAGGAAATTAAAAGCATGCTGCAGCAGAGAGGCAGGCAGGCAGGCAGAGAAGAGGAGCAGATTTACACGGATGTTCAGACACTTTGAGGGATCTATCCTCGCTCAGTGTTGACTGATAATGTGCTACATCTTAGTGACCCTGGCTTGTGAACATATGGGCTGTAAATCCATCAGTTTGACCACAAAAAGTCTCCTTGACGGAGCAGCGTGAATTTGCACGACCTCCAGTTTCTTCTGTTTTTGACTGTGGAGTGCAAAGTTGTGTCAGAACAGACCAAACATTAAAATCGTCATGCAAAATATTTTTGTTTGAGTCAGACATCGTGAATGTCACTTAAATTAACTTTTAGACCAAAAAAAAACAAAAAACATTTTAAATTGACTTTTTGCTTCAAGTTCCTCTTCTGCTCCTGTTTAATTCTGGCCATTTATTTATGGTTTTTTTATTTTTTATGAAGGACATTTTCAATTTAGGGCTGGGCACGCAAACACTTCAACGTTCCCAGCAATAAACTGGACTCGAGGGAACAGGCAAATATTTCTAATTGAGAAAAGTGGCCTCATTAAAAATTGCCTTGGCATTTATGTCAGCCACTTTTCATTAAATCGCTTCAAATACATTTTTTATATATCTCCTCATGCTGGCAGATCAGATGGAGAGGGCAGAATAATGCACAACATATGTGGCACCCATTCAACCACCATGCCTCTCTGGGGAACATTTATGTGCCTTTTTTTTATTACAAACCTAATTGCATATAGACAATTAAGTCAGCAGCAATTCTTGTTCAATAAAGGCAGGCAGTGACAGGAAACGGACAGGCCCAAATCAACAACGTGAAGCAGGACGATGTGGATAAATATCTACAGACTCCAGGCGGAAAACTTTTCCCCCCAAAGAAAATCGCTGATAATTTGCAGCGAAACCGTATATGTATTTGAGAAAGGCAGCTTCTGTTGCATAAGTGTTGCCTTAGATCTAACCACAGGCTTGCTTCTTGGAGACATCTTAAAAGTGAACCAGACATCCTCCCCTCCTCTCCTTTCACCCCCGCCCTCAGGAGGGATGTGAAGCCCACTCATCAATAGGTAATTTGAAAATGCCAGAGGGAGGAAAAAATCAGAGCTCTTCACTGGTTGCTACTGTGCAGCGAGGATTCTTCCCTCCACTCCGGGCTCAAAGGAACTCTATTTAGCGTCGCCGAATTGTACCTCGGAGGCAAACAAGTTATTTAATCCCAGCAGGGTCGTACTGATGGACTGAACCGCTGCAGATTGGGTTTGCAAATGTCACAATGGCCATTAGTGCTGGTGCTGTTGGTCCATATTAGTCCTGTGGGTAATCAGAGAGGTGCTGAGTGTTAATGCGATCACGCTTTAATCAAAGATAGATGAACCCGTCTGTAATGCAGCCAGTCGTGGGCTGATTGTGGCCAAAAATAAGCTGCAGGCAGTTATTACAGCCTGAATGAGAGAGAGTGTCAGGGGAACACTATAACCTGTGATTTGAATGGCCTGACACAAGTTGTTCCCGCTGTTTTTTGGGGAACTTTCTGTAATTTCCACTATTTCTGAGCGTAACGAATGTTGCTAAGGACAACACAAGTTTGAGCTTAATTTTAGTCTGCCAATAAAAACTGTTGGAAAGAAAAAAACAAAAAAAAAACAGCTTCAAGGAGGAGAAAACGGCCCCTGCGTGTAATTTGGAATCCAACCACTCAGCGGTTGAACTTTGTTATCCCGTCTAAATCTAAAACATTGGTGCATGGACAGTTTCTGGCTTGGATTCTGTCAAGAAGAAACAACTGAGATTACATTAATTGTTGTAACGAGAGCACCGTAAGAACAACTGGAGATTATTTTGTGTAAATATTCACGAGGCGGTGGGTTTCATCTCATGCTTTATCCCAATATTCACCCCCTGCGAGAGCAATTACTCCATTATAATATACTTTCCTACCAGTTTACCCATTAACTTTTTAAACCAAGCAAGTGCTCACATTTTTTTTAAATCTGTTTTATAACTTAATTAAAAAACATCAGTTTTCTTTTTTGTTTTAAATCTAAATTAAAAGTGTTTCATGTGTGGTTACGGCTTTCCAAACTTACGCTTTGATTCTTCTATTATTGCAAGGTCACTTAGCTCCAGCGCTTTAACCACGGAGGCTTATAACGCAGAGCTGTGCTTTTGTAACACTTAACAAGATCCTGCAGCCTCTCGTCCACTGCAGCAGCATCATGCTGGGAGAATTACCGTTATCCGATATAAGCCCTCAGAGAGGAAGTAACTACCTAACACTCTCAAATTGGTCTGTCTTGGACCTGGCTCATTCGAACGAAACACGACCCGGTTCACCTTGCTCTTTCTGTGTCGTGGCCTTCCTTTTCTCTTTATTTGTGCTGGATTTTGGTTATTAGGGTTAGAAGATGGCTCTGGGCAGAGCTGATCTCAAACCGCGTTTTTCAGCTGAATGACGTGCTCTCGTGTTTCTGTCAGGAGGAAATATGGAGCGTTGAGCCTCGTGCTTGGGTTTTAGCTTGTAACGATGTGAGGGAGAACTGGGCCGCAGCACCCGCACAAGGACGTACCTGTTCTGCCCCCACGCTGGAGAGAAAAGGGCAAGTTTTTCAACTTGTTTAGTTTAATCTGGAAAGGAATGTGCTATTCCTCCGATTTGGACATATTAAACTCTTGTACTTTTATAATAAATAGTAAAAAGGCTTGTCCTTGAAGCAGTTGTGGTATAAATTTAGATAAATTGCACTATTTGGGGTTGATTTTGAAAAACAAATGGAAAGAAGTAATCGCTCAATAAGAATAATTTGCATATTTGAAGTGGGGTTTTATTGACCGGTTATAAATATCTTACATGTTGTAGATAGCTCTTTGAGCAGCACATTCAGACTGAAGCTGATTTGAGACGGCGACAGTCCGTTTTCGTCTTGGCCTCGCTCACGCCAAACATCAGTCAGGTCAAAGTATACAGTTGTTTAGATAGTTCTACAGCAGGTAGGATTCATTTTCATAAACTTTCCTCAGACCCAAACTTTAAAAACTCAAAACGCACCTTTTAAAGACGCAAACTGCGATCTTTGATCAATGGGTCAAACGTCAGTGAAGCTGCAGGAAGAAAATGCTCAAATGTGTCTCCAGACTTTGGCATTAATGACTTTAACTGTAATAATCATCACGTACTGTTTGTTGGACGATATGTAGAGAGAATGTATATATTTAATCATATATGTTGGCGTGGCCTTGTTGTGGAGTAAGAACATCACGGTAAAGTGTGTGTACAGCAGGGCGTGTGTGTGTGAGAACATGTCTATGACAGAATGATCTGTCCATT